TTATTCGCCAGCTTGTGCAGGAGGCCATTAAAGAAGCCTTGCCTACCGCTCTTGGTTCTGTTTTCACTGCGGGTAAGTCCTCTTTTTCTCCTACTTCTTGGCATCTCGACTCGGCAGCGTTTAATCATATGACTGGATCTCGTTCGGTATTTCGTTCTCTACGGCCACAGTCTTCTATTATGTTGCAAGTCGCAAATGGTTCTTGTTTACCTGCTCAAGGAATTGGTGATATTGCTCAGGAACAGTTGTGTCTCTCTGATACTTTATATGTGCCTCATCTTGTTCCAAGTCTCGTATCACTAGGGCAGTTGGTTGATGAGGGTTGTCGTTTGATTTTTGATGCGGATGGTTGTGTCATACAGGACACGAGAACGGGGACGGTGAGAGGTCGCGGGACTAAGGAGGGTCGTGTGTTCACTCTTGCCAGCTACTCGGGGCCTTTGTTCGCTGCGGATTCTGGTGGTGCAGTGAGTACGAATGTAGGGAGGGAGAGTGATGATACATTTGGTTTTTCTGTTAAGTTGTCTAATTGGGATTTGTGGCATCGTCGGCTAGGCCACCCGAATAATGCTCGCTTACATGAGATGTTTAAAAACAAGTTATTGTCGGGTAGTTCGATTTCGGATTCTCGTGATTGTGTGCATTGCATTGAAGCTAAGTTGACTCAGCAGTCGTTTACGCCTAGCTCTACGGATTATTCTGATCCTTTTGATTTGGTTCACTCTGATTTATGGGGCCCTTCTCCTGTCACTTCTCGTGTTGGTTTCCGTTATTTCGCTCTTTTTGTTGATCATGTCACGAGATTTACCTGGGTCTATTTTTTGCGTCATAAGTCCGACTTGCTTTCTGTAGCTAAGGAGTTTTTGCAAATGGTGAAAACTCAATTTGGGAAACAGGTTAAAATTTTTCGATCCGATCCAGGTGGTGAGTTCATTTCTGGGCCTCTCCAGACTGTGTTCCGCGAGTTGGGCATTTTGCCTCAACAGTCTTGCCCTGGGGTTTCTCAGCAGAATGGGCTAGTTGAACGGAAAAATCGGCATGTCTTAGAACTCACTCGGGCTCTCTTGTTTCAGTCATGTGTACCTACTGGATATTGGGTTGAGGCTGTTCATACCGTCGTCCATCTTATTAATCGACAGATCACTCCGGTTCTTAATAATCGTAGTCCTTATGAAGTCTTGTTTGGAAAGCAGCCTGATTATCGCAGCCTACGGGTGTTTGGTTGTGTTTGCTATGTTCTGCTGCCTCGTCGTGAACGTCATAAGCTTGTTCCTAAGGCTGCGAAATGTGTGTTTATTGGCTACAGTGATAAACACAAGGGTTATGTTTGCTATGATGTGACTAATCGGCGCATTCGTATTTCATGCAATGTTGCTTTTCTTGAGCATATTTCGTACTATGGTTCAGCTGATCAGCCTTCTCGTTCCGATCTTGAGTTCCTTTTTCCCTTGCCGGATTTTCGTTCACATACTGTAGCTGATGGTGAGCTCCCTGATCCTCCTACTCCTCCTCATGCTACGTCCTCCATTGCATATGATTGGTCTGCTTCTTCTTCTTCTTCGACTTCGCCAACGCCGCTCACCCCCCAGCTCTCGACCGCGTCCACTTCACCTACTGTTCCATTTTCCCCTTCCGCTTCAGGTGACGCGTCTACGGCCCCTCTTGACTCCTCGCCTGCTCCCGCCAATCTTGCTCCTCCACCTCGTCGTTCACAGCGTGCGACTAAGGGGGTTCCACCACCTCACATGTCCCACTTTGTTGCTTATGCTACTCCTCATATCCCTATTCCAGCAACGTTTAAACAGGCTAGTGGCCATCCAGAATGGGATAATGCTATGAATGTTGAAATTGATGCTCTCGAGGCTAATCGTACATGGGATGTCGTGGATCGTCCTCTTACTGCGCCTGTTATTGGTTCCCGGTGGGTTTATAATATAAAGCTTCATCCCGATGGTTCTCTTGAGCGCTTTAAGGCCCGAGTTGTTGCCCAAGGTTTTCGACAGGAGTACGGGATTGATTATGAAGAAACTTTTGCGCCGGTAGCCAAGATGCAGACTGTTCGTACATTGTTTGCTGTTGCTGCCATGCGTGGTTGGACCTTAAAACAACTTGATGTGAAGAATGCGTTTCTTCATGGGGATTTGAAGGAAACTATTTATATGGAATGTCCTCCGGGTTACTTGTCTGGTGACAAATCCAAGGTTTGTCTTCTTCGTCGTTCTCTTTATGGTCTTAAGCAGGCTCCCCGGGCTTGGTTTGAAAAATTCCATGATACGATCTTGTCCGCTGGCTTTGTTCAGAGTAACACTGATCCTTCATTGTTTCTTCGTCGTACACCTTCTGGACTTACTGTGTTGCTTATTTATGTTGATGATATGTTGGTGAGTGGTGATGATCTTGAAGGTATTCAGACGCTTACTCGTACTCTGCATGCTGCTTTTAATCTTAAGGAATTAGGGGATGTCTCGTACTTTCTTGGTCTTGAGGTGCATCGATCTTCTGCTGGTTTATTGGTCAGTCAACAGAAGTACATTTTTGACTTGCTTGAGACTGCTCATATGGATAGTTGTGTTCCGTGTGCTACGCCAATGGAACAGAATTTGAAGTTAAGACAAACGGATGGTGATTTCCTTCCTGATAGCTCGTCTTATCGCCGGCTTGTTGGCAGTTTGATTTATCTTACGCATACTAGGCCGGATATTTCGTATGCTGTTCAGGTTGTTAGTCAATTCATGGCTGCTCCTCGTACTACCCATATGGTTGCTGTCACCCGCATACTTCGGTATCTTCGTGGTACTTCTGATGTCGGCTTGTTCTTTCCTTCATCTGGTGATGCAGTTATTGACGCTTATGCTGATGCTGATTATGCTGGTTGGCTTGATACTCGTCGTTCTACTTCGGGTTGGTGTATTCGTGTTGGCTCTTCCTTTGTATCTTGGCGGTGCAAGAAACAGGAGCGTGTTTCTAAATCTTCTACTGAGGCTGAGTATCGTGCTATGTCTGAGGTCACTTCTGAGATGGTCTGGCTTCAGCGCTTATTGTCTGAACTGGGTATGCCGTGTACTGTTCCTATGCGCTTGTATGCGGACAATACTAGTGCTATTCGAATTGCTACGAACCCTGTTCTGCATGATCGCACGAAGCACATTGAAGTTCATGTTCACTATATTCGGCAACTGGTGTCTGAAGGCGTTGTTGCATTATCCTATATTACTTCTGAGGAACAAACTGCTGACTTGCTCACCAAGGCAGTTGCGTCGTCTCGCCACTGGTTTCTTGCGTTCAAATTGATGTTGCGTAAGCACCATCAATTTGAGGGAGGGTGTTAGAAGAAGTTCTGGGTAGTCAATTGTAATTTGGTTAGTAATCCTTGTGTTAGTAGTTTTGGCTAATCCGTTTAAGCCTAGAATAGGGTTGCTCGGCAAGTATATATATGTGGTGAGCCGATATGTGTAACCTGAGGATTATTATCATAATACAATTGACTCTGAGAGGTTGGTCCTCTCCGTGGATTAGTCTCAACAATACGTTGAGGATACCACGTAAATCTCGTCGTCGGATAGAACCAGCATAACAAGGGGAAACCAAGAAGCAGAGAGAGAGAGAGAGAGAGAGAGAGAGAGAGAGAGAGAGAGAGAGAGAGAGAGAGAGAGAGAGAGAGAGAGAGAGAGAGAGAGAGAGAGAGAGAGAGAGAGGAGGAGGTCGGGGTATGTCTCTCACAATATTGCCGTCTTCAAAGGTTGACTTGGTATTGCCATAGCCACCGCACCCAAACGCCAAACCAAAAAGAGAGGTTGACTTGGTAGTTGGTACAGCCGTATAAGTTGAGATTGGGTGGAATAGGGCAATGAATAAATAATCACCATCGATCCAGAATTATGGAAGAAAGAGAAAGGAAGCATATGGGAGAAGGGAACGCGGCAGCCGTTTGTCGTTTGTGACTTGTACGTACTACGTACCTTCCTTTCCTTGGCTGGTTTGAAACTTATTGAAGTTGAAATCATCTATGATATCACACACATCTAAGTTCGGAAGAGGTTATTCCAATAATTCGAGTTAATGTAACAAACCTAATAATAAATTTTGTATTATTTTCTTACATGTGTTTCGTGCAATATAATTTATGCGATGAGCATTTGATATGAGAGTTTCGATTGAGAGTTTGGTTAAATCTTCCAACAAAATTACATTAGTTAAACAAATATAACAGATGATGGATGGACCATATAATAGTCTTGGGTTGAAAGTATTCAATCGCCACTAGAAACAAAGAGATAACAAACTCGACTGTGGCCTTCCAGAAGATCTAGCTAGAGCTTGAAGCTAAAGCTATTGTTGATAGGAGAAGATTCTGATAAACTCTTTCTTTGGGCTGAAGAAGGTTGACCAATAAATTAAAATGGACAGATCAGATAGCTCAGCTACAAGTTCTCCAATCTAAAAAGGAGCCATTATTCCACAAAACTCGCCAGTTTGGTTTGAATTGTCTCTGCTTCTCTTCCTAGCTATCATATTCATACCTTGTTGAGTTAGTTGTTCGCCAACCCACCCCATCTCCCAAAGAGAAAGCTACTTATCGGAGTTTTTCAGCAGTCTTTTTGGACACTATATTAATTTATTTTTTTAATTATCACATCACACATTTAACGGTCAACTATAAAAGTTAGTCGTCACATCAGCAAAAGTAGTAATTGGAACAAGAATTTGCTCACCCACCCAACTTCCATTCCATCTAAGCTTCTTTTGGCTCTTCCGCGCTTTCACCAGTGAATCAACACATAAGCGACTAGCTTGTCTTCCCGAAATAGCTAGGAGCTTCTTTTTTTTTCTCCCCATCCAGGCAAAGCATCAAGGAGTAGGTGAAACTGTAACACCGGCAGATTGAAGCTATCAGACTTAGCCAGCAAGCCATATGCTTTCTTATTTTCAAAGGACCGCCAATCATGTTGGAAACTGTCGACTTTTTTTCTTTACATATTTTTTGTCAACATATTCTAGAAGCCCACAGAGGAAGGAAGGGGTTTAGATTGTAAAATCTGTCATGATCAAGTTATGTCTACCCTCTGATTACTTTTATCTCCTTCTCAAGAATTGACAAGTGTTCACTTTTCTTAGGGCATGTCTCCTGATTCACCTCTGTTCAGTCATTTTGCTTACCCACCACCAAAATCCAGGACCAATAAGCCCCTTACAGATCTGTAATAGCCATAGCTCCATCTAGCTTCAACGTAACAATCCGCTCTTAAAAACAGCCCTACTACCATTGCACAACATGTCCTGAAACTGGAGCTTGATGGTTTTCAAGGTACACTACATCTCCTTTCAAAAGAGAAGCAGGGAGATGATCAAGAAAGATATATATTGACTCAGTTAAATATATAGTTTCAATGAATCGACTAGTGCGTCATGTTTTCGTTACTCGGAAATCTCATGCTCAAACTAGAATTACCAAAGAGTTCAGCATGATCAACGGTCAGTTGTCATGAACTGTTATATGTATGCCTAACTACATTACCCACTGAAGACAGCAACTCCTTCCGCCTCATCTCGGTGACCGGTAATTCTAGTGTAACCTGCCAAGTAGCAAGAATCAAGTTCAAACACAGCAGTAAGAGCAGCAGAGTCCGGAACCGAGTGAAAGGCCCTTTTTTCCCCACAAAAGTTGGGAAGGATTCACTCTTAACTCAACCTATAACAAACCCTAATCTTTACACAAGAATTAGACTGGCTTATTTTCTTAGTCTACTTTCAAGAATGCTTGGAAATGATGCAGAATGTCCCTTCTGCTGTTCTACAAATGCTTACCTCTTTGAAGACTTCGCTATGTGAAACTTGCTCAAATCTCTACAGCAACGAAATGGAACATTGGTTAAGCCTAACTGAAAGCACATTTCGCAAAATTTCAAGGCGCACAGGGAGAGAAGAGAGAAAAAGAGATTGACCAATTTTTGGAAAAGATGAAGAGATGATCCATTTGCTTCTCCAATCTTAACACGGAACATATGGATCCCAAGGCTCTCGATCGCATAGGCCATCATCATAAGAACCGATTCCTTCCCAAGTCCTTTGCCGCGGCTACACACCAATCACATATATATATATATATATATTCATTCAGACGACATAGTTAAGGTCTATTGAGATTTTGACAAGCATATGTGTCACTACTCACTACACAGAATGAAACAACACAAGGCACTAATACCTACCTTTTCGGTTCAGCTATCATAATCTCGACTTCAGCCATTTGTGGATCATCCAAGTCGTTCATATATATATTTACATCGCCCACCATAGCTGCAAAAAGAGCATAAACGCACCATTGGAGAGGGTTTTTTCAGATCATCAAGTTCCGAGTTTTTTTAACCTAAACTGACATCAAAGCTTGAAGCTTTATCCAATACCCAGAAGAATTAAACTAAGCAGGAACTGAGAAAACAAGAATAAACAGCAAACTGAACTTACCTTCGACATGGGGATCTCCATGAACAAACCCTCCTTCGAGGAAATCCTTGTCCAGAACAATAAAAGTCCTTTCTGCAGAAACGAATAATGGTAAGGAAACCCACCTTCAAAATTGGAATTAGGGAATGGAGTGAGTAAGAGAGAGAGAGAGAGAGGGAATACTGAGAGGGTCTCGAGTCCAGGAGAGCTGCATAGTGTACTCTTCTTCGAGGGAAAGCGGGTCGGATCCTGTGGCTTGGAGCAGAGCCGGGTCCTGCATCCATTCGTGGTACCTGGGGACATGGGCTTCCATGTAAGGTACCAGTATCACCTTCTCTCCTTCCAAGCTCACCGCCGCCATTGATCAATCCAGAGGAGGAGGAAGTAGAAATCAAATCAATCCAGTACTGAAGTTGATGGGAATCAGCAGTGGCGAGTACTGACTACTGAGTACCGGCTGCCCGCCCAAACTCGCTACTGCTTACAACGTTTTCTTGTAAGATACTTCACTGTTTCCCTTTCGGAGGATGGGCCAGAGACATTGTCCACTATCGATGGTGGGCCGTGGGCCCTGTGTCACAGCTACGTGCTTGTTCGCCACCAAACTTAGATTCGGTACAGATAACGTTCAACTCACTTTGCTTACCTTCAAAGCCAAACCACGAAACAAGTGACAAATCCTTTGAAGACCCCTTTTGTAGATGTGAAAAATACACTTTTCCTATCTAGGCATTGATGGACTCGTGAAGGAGAAAGAAACAAACTCGTATGTCACATCACTTTTCGTGATTGACTCCATTTTTTTTTTACTTAATCATATTTATAATTACAACTGCATTAAATGCTTGTAATAACAAAGCAACAAAACTACGCTAAATAATATGGATCTCATGAATACTCAAACCATGTGAATTTAGATTATTATTGGATCCATAACAACTATGGGCTACATCCAAAGAGAGATCGAGAACTTAGAAGACACTTGACCCAAAAAGAGTCATTGGCAACGATTCGAAGAGGTACTTGTTAGACGCATGAAGAAAGACAAAAAAGAGTAATGTGTCCACATTTTAGGAATGTGTTGGGTCCTGAGCCTAGAAAGAATAGTTCATTATACGTGGCGGTAAAATTCAATAAAAGGTAGAAAATATGTCAGGACTAAACCGATCCATGAGTTGAGAGACCTTTTTACCTATATAAGTAACGGGAAAATGACCGCATTTAAGGAGGTGACATATTCTCTCTCTCTCTCTGCTAAGACTTACTCCTCTCACTAGAAGCATCAAATGTTTTATCGTTGGAGGGCAAATGAATAAAAAAACATGGGTGCTTCCCTCATAAGTTAACTCGAAGCCTTGGAGACTCCAATCTCAATCAAAGCACTGAATCCACAGTATCTTATCAAAAATATCAATCTACTGCATTAAACTAAAGATGGCTCTTATACATACTTGCTTAGACATGTATACCACAACTGCACAAATTAATCACTCATGTTTGTTCTCGTGAGTAACATTGACAAAGAATTTTGAGAAAAGAGATGTTAATAGACATTCATTTCTCCTTAAGTACCACTCAACCCCAGCATAGCCACTAATTCCAACTTTAATTATTCTCCAACAAGCTAACCACCAAACCCTAACTCCTTTCCCTTCAAAGGTACGCTAGCTAGAACTACCTAAAGAACATAGAGGAGAAGAAAATCTTTAAGATAAAGAAGGGAAATGAAATGAGCGAAGCCACCATACCATTTCCACAAGGAACTTTTTGCTCACTACTAACAATCATGAAGGAAGCCACTACTACTCTGTACTCATTTTACTCCAAAACAAAAGCATCCACCCTTCACAACCAAGACCCATAAAAATGTCCCCATAACCTTCCCTTTTTCACTCCCCCTCTCGTTCCTCTTCAATCTTCATTCCTTCCTCCTCACATCTCTTCCCTTCACTAACCACCATGCCATTCCTTCACTACTTTTGCCATCTCCATCTCCTCCTCCTCTCCTTCCATGCCGACACCGCCTTCTCCGCCCGTTGCGCCACCTCCACGGCCAAGAAAGAGTTCCAAAAATGCATGACTCTCCCCACACAACAAGCTTCAATAGCATGGACTTTCCACCCTAGTAATGCCACCTTAGACCTTGTGTTCTTTGGCACCTTCATTTCACCTTCCGGATGGGTTGCACTAGGCATCAACCCGACATCAGCCGAGATGACTGGGACACGTGCCCTAATCGCCTTTTCGGATCCAAATTCCGGTCAGTTAGTCCTCCTTCCCTACATCCTAGACACTACAGTCAAGCTCCAGAAGACGCCCCTCGTCTCCCAACCTTTGGACATCCATCTCCTGTCGTCCTCAGCTGCCCTCTATGGTGGCAAGCTAGCCACCATCCACAATGGCGCTGCGGTCCAAATCTTCGCAACGTTGAGGCTCGAACCGAACCACACCAAGGTCCATTTCGTGTGGAACAGGGGACTATATGTCCAGGGCTACTCCCCAACCATCCACCCCACAACTTCAAACGACCTTTCCTCCATCTCCACAATCAACATTCTCTCGGGATTCACCTCATCGCAAATCGTACACAACACCAAGACGCTCAAAATGGTTCATGGGATCATGAATGCCATCTCGTGGGGTGTGATGCTTCCTTCCGGGGCAGTCACAGCTCGATACTTCCGCCACATCCAGTCCCTCGGACCAGCGTGGTTCTATATCCATGCTGGGGTGCAGCTCTCCGCCTTCTTTCTAGGGACCGTGGGCTTCGCCATCGGGCTCAAGCTAGGGAATTCATCCCCCGGGGTGACCTATGGCCTCCACCGAAAGCTAGGGATCGCGGCGTTCTGCCTTGGAGGACTGCAGACACTGGCACTGCTGTTCCGGCCCAAGACCACCAACAAGTACAGGAAGTACTGGAAGTCCTACCACCATTTTGTAGGGTATGCTTGTGTGGTGATTGGGGTGGTGAATGTGTTTGAAGGGTTTGAGGTCATGGGAGCTGGAGGGTCTTATGGGAAGTTAGCATACTGCTTGTGTTTGTCAACCCTGATAGGAGCTTGCATTGCTTTGGAGGTCAACTCGTGGGTGATCTTCTGCAGGAAGTCTAAAGAAGACAAATTGAGAAGAGAAGGGATCATCTCTGATAAAGGGAGTACCGATCTAATCCATAATAGCTAAAAGGAACGAACAGATCAAATTTTGACTGAAACGAAGCATCTTTTACGTTATGATATTATTATAATGAAACGAACCATCTTCTGTGTTTGAATATAGTATTGTGTAAGAAAAAAGAAGTGGAGGAAAAACAAAAAAGTATAAGCAATTTGATAATAATAGTATTTGTTTATTTATGAGAAACCCTAGTTGGGTATCCTTCAGAAAAGTTTTGTTCTCTCTAGCTGCACTAGAACATTCAAGCTCAACAATACAGACAATAATCCGAGGGGGATAAGGAATACAGCAGAGAGGAAAATATACCTGACAAGAATCCACAAAACTGCCAGGTATGCTACAAAGAGACCTTAATCGAAACCAAAAGAGAAGGAACAAAAGAAACCCTATGTAATCATATCCATTTTTTGGTATGGCTGCCGCAAGCTGATGTACATTTCACTCAAATAACCAACAATGCTAAGAATCAAAGATAGAATCCCCCTACAAAGCACTCAAACAATAACATGATAGTCTCCCTTGTAACTTCTTCTATGTATTATCCCTAAAGCTTTTAACTTAAACTCTTCCTTCTTAAGATCAGGGCACTCCACAGTTCATCTCCAGAATAACCCCATGGTAAATCCTTCTTTAACTAAGACAGTAAATATACTTATCGAGGTAGGGGGAAATCTGTGGTAGTACACAGTAATTTCCACCAGCTTCAACAGATTGATCCTCCTAGGTAGCAATTCCTGATTCAAACCAAGAGATCGCAGTAAAAAGAATCCCATTAGAATCCCACCAATATAAGACGATAAAGAAGCAAATTTTTATTCAACAGATGGTGTTCTTAGTTTGTTACCTCTAGTTGCCTGTCTTTTATTAACACTATAGCCACCAACAAAACCAGGAGAAGGGCTTTTCACTGCAACATCTGAAGTTGTATTGTTACTGCCAAGCGGAAGCCCCCCATCTCGCCAAGCGGGATCTCCATAATCTTCGGAACCACCACCTCCAACATAGAGATGATCACCTATCAATCCTCCATCAAACCCACCGCCCGACGAAGCAGTATGGTTCATCACACTGCTGCTTCTTCCTCCTCCATATCCACCTGCAGTAGACCCCAAGCTAAAGCTGTTCTCCCCACCGCCATATGAGAAATTCAGACTATTGTTGGGTACATTGTTGTTGCCTTCATCACCCCAGCTGATACCACCTCTGTTGCCAAATGTGTTTCCAGGTCCCGCATAAGCATCATCTAGACCAGCAGAGTTGGTAAGCCCTCCATTTCCCCACATGTTCCTAGTAACTGAGCTGAAGAATGAAGTATTTCCTCCATTATTACTACCTGCAGTATCGTACCCTATTGGATTACCAAACCTATTTGTGTTCTCAATGTAATAAGGATGATGATTCATCATCCCCCTGAACCCGCCGTTAAAATTCCCACCACTCCCTCCATATGCAGCTTGACCCAAACCTGGCTCAAAATTCAAACCCATCCCGTAACCCGACCCGAAATTGGGACCAAACCCACTTCGACTGGCGGCAACAGGACTGAACCTTCCTCCGTGGTCCATTCTAAGCCCATACCCAACTGTTCCCGGGTTATATCCTTGATTGTAACCACTAAGAAAGCTGCTACTAACCCTACCGAGACCATAGTTGTTTAGTGGAGATGTACCACGGCTGGGACCAGCTGGAGATAGCTCCTTGGGGACTGCTCTCTTGACCTCGACCATTTTCCCATTGAGTTCATGGAAGGTCTTCAAGTGGAGGACTTTGTCAACTGCTTCCTCGGAATCGTATGTTATAAACCCGAACCCTCTTGGCCTCTGCGTGTTGTGATCATACATGACTACCACATCCGTGATTGTTCCAAACTGCTCGAAGTAGTTACGGAAATCGGTTTCTGTGACTGTGGATGCTAACCCTCCTACAAAGATTTTTCTGGTTCGGCCTGGACTTGGAGAACCATATTGAATAATGCTACTTGTTGTTCTGTGAAGAATGTTTTGATCATCCTTAGGAACAGCTTTCTTTGCCTCCACCTGATCAAATTGTCAAGTTACATCAAAGTCGCGTTCCAATATTAATGATCTTTCATCACCAATCAATCATAAAACACTACCTACGGACACTTATAAAAACATACAAAAGAGTTTCTTATCAACTCATTCTCAGGGATCAGACCATTGATGCAATCAAACTTTCACCTAATGCTAGCATTGTTTTCACCAAATTCCAATATTCAAATTTGTCATAGTAATGATCATTTTGCATTCAACCGTTCTGTTAGTAATCTGATTCCAAGTCAGGTCAGGTAAGTAAGATGACACCCACACGATAGAACTCTAGCTACGGACAGTTGAAGAACAAGAAACAGCTTCTTATCAACTAGTTCACACGATTACAGACCATTGCAGTCATACTTTCAGTAATAATTTTGTGGTTTCAGCAAATCCCAGAGTCAAGCTTCTCATAACAACGAACATTCTGCATTTGAGCCACTGATCAGTAGCGTTACGAACCTAATTCTAATTTGAACCAAGTACAATCACAATTCACAACGAAGATACAACTCTGCCTATAGATACTTAAACAGCTAAAAAGAGCTTCTGGTCAACTCATTCGCTCGAGTTAGATCATTGTTAATACTAACCATGTTTTCAGTACATTTCGGAATCAAACATTCTAAAACAATAAGCATATTTCCTATATGAACTATTGGTCTGGCGTCACTCATCTAAAGTGCTCCTCGCCAAATAATTCACCACCGACTCGACCATTGCAATCAATCAAACTCGTCACTGATGCTGACGTTTGTTCATTAAACTAGGAAGAGAAGGGGAGGAAAAAGAAACTGACCATTCTTCCATCGATGTTGTGCTTCTCTTGAGTGACCCGCTCGGCGACGGCTCCATCGGCGAAGACCACGAAACCAAAGCCGCGAGCCCGACCGGTGGTCCGATCCTTCATTATCACGGCTTCCACGACCTCTCCGAACGACCCGAAGTATTCACGGAGCCGGTCTTCGTTCGTGTCCCACGAAATCCCGCCGATGAACAGCTTCCCATTCTCCGATGACGCTTGCATCTTCCCTTTTCTTATTTCGTTTTGCCTAAATTCCAAAACTTTACCTGGATCCAATCAAAACCCAGAAACGGGGGGAACGATGAACGATCAAATCAAGCAAAAGCGATCGGAGGAAATGAAACATGGGATATTCAATCTTACCTCGAATGCTACTAAAAGAAAGACACAAGGACGCGATCAATCAACCAAACCTGCAAAATGAAAAGCAGGAAGACCCGGTAAGGGGAGAACGGAAAATGAGATTGGTAAATTCCGAATCGAGGAAGGACAGGAGAAGTCGAACCGATTTGAGCAGAACCCAGATGCCAAATCTGAGGGAAAGCACGGGAACCGAGATTTGAGAGGGCATGCTCATTATTTTCCTCCTCCCCTCTGCAAATCATGCCCTCTTCTTCCTCTTCCTCTCTTGTTCGAAATCTAGAATTGGGTTCATTAATTAAAAAATAATGAAATGGGATTTAATAATCATAGAAATGGGGGAAACGAGGAGGCGAGGGATGTCTGTGGCGTGAATTGAGAACTAAATAGGTGGGATGGAGACTAAAATGAATCGGATAGAAGATGGAGGAGGAAGGGGGAACTGATTTTTTATTTTGATTTTTTTATCTTTTTTGGTTATAGATATGATCTTGGGAATGGAATGTGGCGTTAGAATGGTAGTTTAATGTTTTAGTAGGCGGGGGCAAAGAAAAGAAAATAGTTTAAATTGCTTGCACTTGAAGGCATAAGAGGAGAAAAATGGGGACGAAGAGTGTAAAGAGTAGGAGTTCGAGAGGAAGAGCTTTGCTGTCTTCAAGCTTTTCTTCTTCCTCGGTCCGTCTGTTTATATTTATACTTGGAGAAGGGAGGGGGAAATGAAAACAGAAACGATAACACTGTTTTTTGTTGGGATTTTTATTTTCTTATTTGATCAATATTGTAATTAGAGGTGGTAAATGGATTGATCCATGGATTGGTGGACTGGATTGGTAAATCCATGGATGAAATGGATTGGTGGATTTATGGATTGGATCAAGTGAATTGGTGGGTTATCCATGAATCCAAATAACATCCTCAACCAAGGACCAATATGTAAAATATGAAAAGTTTTAGGTACCAAAACAAAAATTTCCAATGATATTTTCATATTAAAAATTAAAATTTGGGTACCAAAATGTAAAATATAAAAAGTATAGATACCAAATCGTAATTGTCATTTGGATCCATGGATCAATCCATGAATCCACCAATCCAACTAGATTTGGATCAAATGAATTGAATTTAAATGGATTTGATTAAGTGGATATTTTTAATGGGTCAGTGGATTGGATTGAGAATTGCCACCTCTAATTGTAATTGATCCAAACTTCTTATTAGATTAATTTTTTTACACATTGTGAAAAATATAGCAAAAATTTGAAAAATACACAAAACTAGTAAAAAATTTGACAATGTCGAGACAGTTATAGACATTTCCGTTATAAAATCTGACGTCGTTAGGGACGTCGTCAGTTACTTGTTCGCATCGCTGAGGTGGCTACCATTTGGACGCCACGTCGACGCCAACTAGACTGAAATTGCCTCCTCCGCGCCACGTCATCGCTGGTGCAACTCTAGTTCCCCTATCTCGCTTCCATCTTTCCGTCGACGACTCCTCCTTCCCGCTCGCTCACAGTCTGCATCTCCCAACTGATTGATGTCACAAAGGGGCATTCGGGGTGCTCGCAAGAATGCGCTGATTTGGGTTCAACAAGCGTCAAAAGTGGGTGTTCTATCCTTTGCGAACACAATGTCCCAGTTGTGATTAATACCTCTAGGACTAAGTTGAATCCAGGAAGGCAATTCTATGTCTGTCGTTATTGGAAGGTAAGGCCATTTCATTGCAATTTTATGATTTTATATGTTTGTTGTTTGTTGCCTGAGGAGGGATGATGGTTTGCAGGATG